ATCAAATATCATTTTTTTTTTGAATAAAATAAAAATTATTAAAATTATAAATGAATAAAAATTAGTAAAATTATAAATGAAGAAAAATTATTAAAATTATAAATAAATAAAAATTATTTGCTTCAAGTAAATATTTATTTGATAATAGAAAAGTAATCGATTATTTGAATCAACTAAATTTTTTCCCAGTGTAAAATAGGTTATAATTTTACTTATATTCTAAACCTAGAAAATTTGATTTTCCCTTGTGGTTTTTTTTTAATTCGAAAAAAGTTAAATATAAGATGAGGAATATTTTGATTTGCAAAAAAAAATTTCTTCTTTTTGCCTCAACTTTGTTTCTTTGCGTCTAAATACGCAGAATAATAAATCACTATTTACAAGCGCAGTAAAGTCACAATTTTTTAAAAACGCATTTTTATAAGAGAACAAAAAAAAAGAGGTAACCGAGTTAATAAAACATTGGCAATTTTATATCGGTGGGTCAATTTATAAAATGATACCAAATTATTTTTTTTGACATCGATAAAGTTTTGAGTAAATCTAAAATTAAATTTACGAAATCAAGACTCACCGACGACAGCATCGACTGGACCAGAAGATGACTTCCCTTCCTCTCCTGACTGGAAAAATAAAACAAACGAAATTTTTTATACTTTGGAAAAAAATTCCTTTAGGTATTTTGTCTGACTAAAACTTGGTTTTTACTACTTAAATGAAGAATTTAATTAGAAAAATACTCATTTGAAGAAAATTTATAAAACAAAATTATTTTTTAATACTTATATGGAAAACAAATACGAAAATGCGGGAAACGAAATCAAATTCAAATAAAAACGAAAGTAAAATACAAAAAATAAGGATAAAACTTAAATACGAAAATATAAGAAAAAATATATGAAAATAACTAAAATGGAAATTATTTGAACAAAGAATGTAAATAAACACTTGCTAAAGAGGAAAAAAAATGAATTTCCATTATTAATTAAATTAATTATTACTTGGTTATTATATTTTGATGAGAAAAAAATAAAAAACTTACAAGTGTTCGTATTTTCTTGTGCCTGATCTCCATCCTGAAGCAGAGTCACACACACAAATATAAACCCTTTTGTTGAAAAAACACTCACGCACTAACTGAAAAACTTTCTAATACTTTGGAAATCACTCGAAACTAAAAAAACTACATTTTATAGTTTAATATTTAATATAATATTAATAAATAAAATAAAATAGTAAATAAAAATATTAATAATAAAATAAAATAGTAAAAACAATATTAATAATAATTTTAATCGCAATTTAAAAAAAGGGACCGAAAATTTCAAATTTTTAGAAATTAAAAACACTTGAACCGAATGTTAAATTTTACAAAGAAAAACAAATTTTTTTTTTTAGAAAACTAAATAACTAAAACGAAGTTAAAAACTGGGAACAAAAAATTTTAAACTCGCGAATATGATTAATTTTTCACTAACATAAGAACCATTAATACTGATGTTGACTTTTTGATTCTTTCTTCAATATAGTCGATGGAAAAAAACTTGCAACTGAAATCAAAAATAAAATTTATATTAAAAATTAAACACTTTTACAAAATAGGATAAACATAAAAAAAATAAATAAAAAAAAATAAATAAATAAAAAATAAATAAAAAAAAATAAAAAAATAAATAAATAAAATAAAATAAAAAAAAAATAAATAAAATAAATAAAATTTTGTTTCACTTTCGAAAATAGCATCATAAAATAATTTATTTTAGTGAAATGTAACCTACTTTAAATGATCCTAAAGTTCTGAATGTTAAAGTGAAAGAAATTTACTTATTTCTTCTTGAAATTAAATTTGTATTACAATAATTTTGCGTCACTTTCAAAAAAAAAAATAATTTTTAAAGTTTTCAAATAATATGTAGAATTTTAGTTTTTTTTTACGGTAATCAGTAATTTATGGAAATATTTTTAACAAGAAAAAAAATTTTATTTGATTCAAATAATTGATTACTTGTCGATTATCATATAAATGTTTAGTTGAATTAAACAAAAATTTATTTATATCTTATAATTTTTATTTAAAAAATTAAATTATTAAATTATTTACTTAATAAATAAATTTTTATTTCTACAATAGCTTCAGTATTTTAAGAAAATAGCATTTAATTAATAAAATATCACATCACGTATTGATAAATTAAATTATAAATTTTCAAAATATTCAATTATTATCGCAATCACTGATTTTTGAAAATATTTTTTTATGAAAAAATATATTTCGTTCATTCCTACGTTCAGAACTTGTAGATGATAAAAATTTTGTTTTCAGTCTGTTTACAAGAAAATCATTCACCTACTTACAAATTTAGCCTAATTTTACAAATAAAACAGCAATAATAATTATCATTATTTTTAGTGTTATAAATAATTAATTTTATTATTCAGAAAAAAGATTTTAATTTTCAGTTATTTTTAAAGTTTACTTTTTCCTAAGTCGGATAATTGGATTAATGCCAAGATTTCTAATTCGCTTTTGTCATTATAATTGTGTTTCTAAATTTACCATCAAGACGATTTCATGTTATTGAGTTTATTGGAATATTTAAACGTACAATTATTTATAGTAATAGATAAATATATTCTTTTTTTCTTTTTATTGTTCTTTTAACAATATGGATTATTGTTTCGAAGCAGTGACAGAAATGATGTGCATCTTATACTAAAATAAGAATAAATAATTAACAGTCAAATTTAATTGAAAATCAGTAAAAAAATAACTGAATTATTATTCATTTTCTACAGAAATAGTTAAATAATTTTACGGACAGTCAAAACAAAAGTTAGCCAAATGTTCTAATTTTGTATTTTAAAAGAAAAAGACAAATTAAATTTTAAATTCGTTTCGCTAGAAGGTGTAAAAAATTTAATTTTCAAAAATTTTAAACAATTAAAAATTGCATTTGAACAAAAAATGACAGTATTTTTGTCAATAAGAAACAATGCTTCCATATGAGGAAGCAAAATTTGTTAAATTGTTAAGTTTTAAACGCTAAATACTATTAATTCGACTTTAAGTAGTACGAGTCAAAGTACAGTCAGACGAAAATCCGAATATAAGTAATTTAAAAATGAAAAGTATTTTTTTGTTAATTCAACTTCCATTAGAATTTTTCTCATTTTATTTTGATTTATACTACTTAAAGTTGAATTTGAAAAAAAAATATTTTACATTTTGAATTCTCGATTTTATCTAATTATACAATAATTTCTTTTATTTGGAATTTCATTATTATCGTTATCAAAAGAATTTTCTATGTTTGCTGTCAATAATGTAGATAATGTATGACTGTACTTTGACTCGTACTACTTAGAGTTGAGTTATTATTTTAAAAAGATTATTCAATTCTTTAAATATAGTAAAAATTCTACATTAAATAGAACGAGTCAAAGTATAGTCAAACGAAAATTCGTAATTTAAAAATGCAAATTATTTTTTTTTTAACAATAATTTAATTTCCAGTCGAACTTGTCTGATTGTACTTTGACTTGTACTACTTGAAGTTGGATTTAAAAAAAATATTTTACATTTTGTATTGTCGATTTCATCTCACTAACTTTTGACTTGTATTAATTTTGGAATTTAATTATCATCATTATTAAAAGAATTTTCTATTCTTGCTTTCAAATGTAGATTTTTTATGACTGTACATTGACTCGTACTACTTGGAGTTGAGTTAATTTTATAAGAATTAATTAATAATTTTATAAGTTAAGTAGTACGAGTCAAAGTATGGTCAGACGAAAATCCGCAAATTATAAATGAAAATTATTTTTTTTAACAATAATTCAACTTCAAGTCGAATAGTGTTCAGATTGTACTTTTACTTGTATAACTTGAAGCTGAATTTAAAAAAAAATTAACCTTTTTAATTTTCAATTTCATGTAACTATACTTTTGACTTATATTACTTGGAGTTTAATTAGTATTATTATTATTATTATTATTATTATTAAAAGAATTTTCTGTGTTTGCTTTCAAATGTAGATTTTTGTATGACAGTACATTGACTCATACTACTTAGAGTTGAGTTATTATTAGAAGAAGAATATTCTATTCCTTGAATATTGTAATAATTCGAATACGTTAAGTAGTACGACTCAATGAATAGTCAGATATCGACAATATTGAAACTATAAAATATTTTTTTAATTAACAATAATTAATAACAAATTCGGGTCAGGAATTGGTGAAAACGTGGGGCTATTTTGATATTCATCCAATAGAAATTCATTTCATGTTTCTTGCTTCTCGAATTTTAATTCTTTCCTTTTTTAAAAAAAAAAAACTCCATATACCAGTCTAAATTTTCAATTTCAAAAAAATTTTACTTGCTGATTGCGAGAAAAATAATTCCCATTTGTAATTTATTCATGAATTATTATTATTATTAAAGGATATAAAAAGTGATTTTATTACACAGAAGTAAAGGAAAGAAAAAAATGTCTGAAATGTATTATTTAAAAGTGATAGAATCAGTATAGTCGATATACGTATATATATATTTGGTTGCACCGTGACCATCTGTCGTTTGGTCTCGCTTTTGCAATCGTTTTCCCAGGCCAGCGGTCGCGCCTTAAGACAACTGTGAGAATCGGCCTCTGGGGTAATTCGCAAATACTTCGGGGGTGGTTTTCCCACCGAGAGGCGGAGCAAAGTCGCGCGTCGGATTACTGAAGCGTCCTGCCTCCAAAGAACATAGTGGGGAATCATTCTCAACTCAGTTTCTGATCGGACTCGGTACTAGAAAGTGCGCTCGTGTAGTTTCCTCTCAAAAATAAAAGACGTTTACAATACGTGAGACAGAGAGCACGTGACTCAAAGTTTTACCTCTCGAAAACTTTTGAAAATAAAGTTTTAATTTTTTTTTCCTCTCGTATTATAAAAATTAACGAGAGAGTTATTTATTTTTTTTTTTTTGAAAAATTAATTTTTGAACGTGTTTGAATAGAAAGTGATTTTATTTGAAAAAGTAATTAAAAAAATTGGGTTTATTTTATTATCTAGGTTTGTTTCAACAATATTATGTTTACTTTTATAATTTATAATTTTCTATTCGTGAATTTTAATTCGCAAAGTGAAGTTTCGTCTTGTCAACCAAAAATTGTTTTTGAATTAAACATCATAATTTTAAATAATTTTTATTCAATAATTTGAGTCAATAAAAATTACTTTTATTTATATTATAAAATATGTTTAATCCAAAAATATTTTTTTTTAATTCGCTACTTCATTTTGGATAAAAAAAAAATTTTTCTCAGTGTATAACTTTAAACTAATAGTGAAATTAGTAAACAATTTTTTTTTGTGTTAATAAATAATTTATTACCTATTTAGTATTTTGTCTAGAATTTCATTATTTGTTGCAAATCTAATTTATTGAAAGAAAATTATATACACCCAGAGAAAATTTTTATTTCAATCAAATAAAAAAAGTACCAAAAATTAAAAAACAAGTTAAATAAAAAAAATTAGAGTCTAAATTATTAGTTTAAAAAAAAAATTTCAAGAAATAAATTTGAACCAAACAAATTTTTTAGTTTGGTTTAGTTTTATTTTTTTAACTTCCTGATATGATAATTAGTCGTTCTTAGTAAATAATAAAAAAAAATAATTTTTCGATTCTATAAATAAAATAAGACTTTATTTTTACTCCATCAGAAATTTTCACTAATTTCAATAAGTGTTGAATATATTTTTTTTTTGTATTAATATTGAGTATATTTTTAACAATTGTTCAAGATTTTCGCGGTTACTTAAATATTTATAGTTAATTAGTACTCGTTGACCTAATTTTAACTATATAACAAAGACGCATTGTTGATAGAGGTTACCACATTCAATTAAGCGATGTTCATTTGAAACAATGCAAATATATATTCAATAGATTCATTTATATTAAACTAAGTGAATTAATGATGTTATAAAATAATAATTACTCTCGAAATCGTAATTCGTAATACAATTCTAATTAAAATATAATAACCGAAAATTGTAAATTTTTAAAATGTAAATACATTGTTAATTTTTAATAACAAAAGCATTGCAATTTTATTTTATATATGCATTTATTTTTTTTTGTACTTTTTTAATTTAATATTTTTAATTAATAATTAATTTTACAATTTGAAAAAAAATTTTATTAAATTCAATGGCAATTCAATTTAAATTTTAAGTTATACAATAAATTTATATAATTGCGTAAAATTATCATTAAATTCAAATAATTTTACAATTTTCTTTAGTTAAAATTGTAAAATTATTTTTTACAGATTTTTTAAAGAAAAATAATAATTTTTAGAAATTAAAATAATTTTTTTTTAATAAAAAGTGTAAAATTATGAGTTTTTACAGATTTTTTAAAGAAAAATAATAATTTTTAGAAATAATAAATCATTTACTTTAATAAAAATTAGAAAATTATTTTTTACTGATTTTGTAAAGAAAAATAATAGTTTCTAAATATAATAAATAATTTTCTTTGATAAAAATTGTAAAATTTTTTTTACAAATTTTTTAAAGAAAAAAATTACAAAAAATATTTAAACAGTTGGAATAAAATAAACTCGTTTTTAATAATTACACAGAGAAAAAGGAAAAAAAATAATTGTAAGTGAATCAAAAAAAAAATTTTTTGGTGCAATATGAATTGCGATATTGAATGGCGCGAAAATTATTCGTGCTCTTCGACTAAAAAGGACAAAATTGTTTAAGTTCGTTATTTTTTGTTGTTATTGTTACAATTCAGTGGTTCCTGGAAATTTTATTTTGCTAGCCGATCTTACGGATTATTTTCAAGTTACATAATCAAGGTAAAAAAAACAAAATTATATTCTAAATCTAAATATTTGAAATTAAAAATAAAAAAAAACCGAAAATTAATTTTTCTTAAAAGATTTATTTCCTAATTTTTTAACAAAAATTTTCTCGTTTCCCTAATGCATTCTGTTTTATTCAAAATTTTGTTTTGTCCTTTTTTTCCTCATCTTATTGCAAAAAAAAAAAAAAAAAAAAAAAAAAAAATAGAAAAGAGAAAAAAATTAGTAGTTACATTCAAGCAAAGCTCTTTGTTTACTTTAAATGAAAATCTCGTTCTTTCAACTCCATCGCGTGCTCCATTCACTGTTTCGCATGAAACAACATAAAACGAACGTGGTTAAAAAGAACCATTAATCAATCACTTATTGACTTTAATTCCATTTTCTAATTGCGTTATTGTAATTTTTTTTCTTGCTCATGCATTGTTACTATTTTTTATTCTATTTATTATTTTTTTCGGATTTTATTTTTTAATCTATTTTTTTATTCATTACTTTTTTGTATACTTGTTAATTTATTCGAATTAAATATTTGTGTTTATTTAAATGCAGTATTTTTATTAATTTACTAATTTTTTAGAGAAACTATTTTATATTTTACTACTTCTATATTTTACTTGAAATTTAAAAATTTTAGTAAAAATTACTTCAAGCATAGCGAAATTTACTTTCAAAATAGTAAAAATTGACAGAAATGCGCAGAAGTTGCAGACAGTTTCAGTTTTACTTTCTAAATAGTAAAAATTACATAATATTTTTCTCCGTGTATATTAATAATTTTATAATAACAATTAAACAATAATAATATAATAATAATAGAAAAAATAAAAAATAGTAAAAGAAAAATAAGGAATAACAAATAAAAAATAAAAAAGTAATAATAAATAACAAATAAAAAAGTAATAATAAATAAAAATTTAAGTACAATGTGAAAAAGGCGAAATTTTAGTAGAAAATTTTTATAAATCTCATTAAACGTTGCATAAAATTAAAACCAAGTTTCAATAAATTTCAAAATAATTTTCTAATATTTTAAATATTTTTTCTCGATTTAAATAAAACTATACATAATTTTTTAGTTTTTTTAAAAAATTGGAATTTTCTATACCTTAAAAATTAATGCTTTTTTCTAAAACATAAAATATTGTGTAAATAAACAAAATATATTTCAAATCCAACATTTTATTATAAATACTATTTAATGAGGTCTTGAAACTTGCGACTAACGAGGAAACGGAAATGAATGGCGACAATTTCGAAACAAATTTTCAAGTTTGATATATGTATATGAAGGTTAAACGTTCCCGAGAAGTTTGACGTAAAACTTTTAAATGTTTTAGACGATAGTTAAGCAGATATCAGTAGCGTCTAGTGCCAACAATTTTTATTACCGTAATAAAACAAAAAAGAAAATCTTGACCCTATTATTTAATATTAAACCAAAAAAAAAAAAAAAAATTAAAAAAATTTGTACCTACTTTAAAAAAAATAATATACTGAAGAAAAAAATAATGTACTACAGAAATAAGGTTAAAGTCCGCAAAGTTTTTAAAAAGGAAAAAAATTTGTAAAAATTAGATGCAAAATAAAGGTTTTTAAAGAATGTAACTTTTTTTCTTGAATTCGATTCAATATTTTATTTTCAAAACTTGGATTAAAAAAAAGGAATTTAAACTTCCTTTGGCACATTGGGTCCTTTTGAACTGGATTTAGAATTAATTAAATTAATTCAAATTTAAAGAAGAATTTAATTTAATTTTTATAAAAAATATTAAAATATGAAAAAAGTATAAAAAGTATAAAGTATAAAAGTATGAAAAAATAAATTATAAAGATTCTAAATGTTAAATTTAGGTTCTTAATTTTAATTACAATCAGTACCTGAAAATATCAGGGAATTTTATAAACCTTGAAAAAAACCTGGAAAAGTCGGGGAATTTTAATAGGAATCCTGGAAAATTATTGTTTTCTAAAGTTATTGTGCTTATTCTTGAAATATAATTTTACTTAAATATTTCAAAATTAATTCAATTTTAAAAAAGTAGCGTTTACAATTTTTCTTCGCAATAATTCAATTTTTTAAAAGAATTACATTATTAAAAAAAATGTTGAATAAAATTCTACGCAAACATTCAATTATTTTCATAATTAATAAAAATTTCACAGGAATTCTATTATTTACAAATTCTTTATAAATTTCTTCGCAATAATTCAATTATTTTCATAAATAATCAAATTTTTTTTAAAGAGATTCAATTATTTTCATAAATCATAAAAAACTTTATAGTTTTTCAATTATTTTCATAAATAATAAATCTCATCGCAGAATTTCAATTATTAATAAATTCGTCTCAATAATTCAATTATTTCAATTATCTTTATAAATAATAAACTTTTTCTTCAAAATTCAATTATTTTCAAAAATTTTAATAAAATTCTTGGCAAAATTTCAATTATTTTCAAAAACTTTTCTCAATTCAATCAAATTTTTTCACAGAGATTCAATTATTTTTATTATCTTTATAAATAATAGAATTTTTCTCCAAAATTCAATTATTTTCAAAAATTTTAATAAAATTCTTGGCAAAATTTAAATTATTTTCAAAAATTTTAATAACATTCTTGGCAAAATTTCAATTATTTTCAAAAACTTTTCTCAATTAAATCAAATTTTTTTGCAGAGATTTAATTATTTTTAAAACAATTTTAATCTAATTTCTCGAAAAATGAAATTATACTTAAAAATCTTATTAAAAATTCGTCAAAAGAATTTTAATTACCTATTTAAAAATTTATTGATAAAATTCTTTATGAGAGTTCAATTTTGAAAAACATTCATTTATTCAATAAATTATTTATTTGCATTTTATTTGTATTTAAATAATTGAATTCTCGTAAAATTTTTCAATAAAAATTGATTTAAATATGAATTTCATATTGGATTTTTCAAATGTTTTAAATTATAATCTTTTAATAGAATGTTTGAATTTTTCATACATTTAACTGAAAATTGTGTAGATATAATTTTCTTTAAAAAGTTTAATTGGATTTTTTTTAAGTTATCTAAAGTTTTTATTTTCTAATATATTTTTAATTGAAGAATTTCCGAATAATCGAAATTTCATAAAATTTAATTGTAAACAAATAGATATGAAAATTCTCAAGGAACTTTTTCAAAAATTATTAAAAAATAAATTATTTAATGAAAAATTTTAGTTAAAAATTATGGAAAACAATAATTGAATTGAAGTGATAATGAGTCGATATAATGAATCGATATCTTCATGTTTTATAACAATTTTTTATAATTTGTTTAATTTTAAAAAGGTTTGAATTTAAATCTTTTGAAGAATTTTAATTTCTATGGAAAAATAATAATAATTATTTAATTTTGTAGAATATAAATTTATTTTTCAAAACCTTGAAAAATTTCGTTTTTTAATCTGGAAAACTTGGAAAAGTCTGGGAATTTGAAATCAGCAAAAGTGTGGCAACCCTGAAATTAATACCAAAGTGGATCAATTTTTTTTAGTCCACATTTTTGGTATCAATTTATCGCAATTTAATACTTTTCTTTAAGTATTACAAGTGATTTAAAATTTCAAATATACTTAAATTTTGAAGAGAGAAAAAAATTAAAAGTATATCAAAATATTTAAATCTAAAAATAAATCCAAAATTGATACATTCAGTAATTTCTTTGCAGTAGATGATTTTATACGGAAAGAAAAAAGTTAATTTAAAAAAGAGTATTATGTAACATTACTGAGTTTTAATTAAGTAAGAAATCTTTATTCTTTTTTTTTTTTTTTGAAAATAAGAAAATAAAAAGAGGTTTATTTGACTCTATTATTAGAAAACAGGAACTTTTGTATATATGTATGTGTGCAATGTTTCTTCCTTCTAGGAACGGTACAAAGAGGACGTACAGTTTTAACTTCCGTAGAGGAATGCGTCTATTGGAAGAACCCAAAAGAATGAAACTCGCGCAGGAAAAGAGTTGGGAATCGTTTTAAACTACCATCCACTTCACATTCCTGATTTCAGTTAGGCGCTTGTTTATTTCTTTTTCGACTCTCTCTATCTCTCTCTCACCCTCTTTTTTCTCACCCCCCGAAGCACTTGAATTGCATGTCCGTATATAGCCCATGCAAGTTCAAATGCAATGCAACATGAAATGTAAGGAAAACGAGAAAGAATGCAGGATAAGAGCAAGCTTATTTTTTTCAGTGTTAAGAAAAAAAATTTAAAAAATTGAAAATAATAATAATAATAAAAAAAAATCGTTATCCACTTTTGTTAATAATGCACAAATTTTATTATTTCAAATTTTAAATAAAAAAAAAAATATTAGAATAAAGTGGGGTGAAAAAGACATTTTTTTATCATCGACGCTATAAATCGGAATTTTTTTAAAATTTTACTAAAAGTTTAGTAATTAAGCTTAAAAAAAAATCACTTTGCGATTTTTGTAAAAAGTGCTATAAATTTTTGTAATTTTCTATTATTCCTCTATTTACATGACAAATAATTTCAATAGTTTAAAATTTTTAATATAAAACCCAAATAGCTGTTTTACTCTACTCTAAAATTAACAAAATTGAAAAGAGGAAGTTGTTTTGTTAGCAAAAATTAAAAAAGGAAGTTGTTTTGTTAAAATTTTGTCCCTAAATTTTCGAATTTTAAAATGAACGACAATATATTTCGCAATATAAATTTTCTTCGACATTGCTCTCTAAAATTAAAATAAAAAAATATAAACCCACGTCGAAAATTCCATAAAATGGAATTCATTTTCCATGGAGAAATGGAAATTCCATGCAGTTTCCATGGAAATTTTGCAAGTTTTTTATTTTAAAAATATTTTAACATTTCCAGGATTGTCATAGGTCTGGGAAATCAGAAAAAAGCCACGTCAAAATTTCAAATATCTTTAAAAATAATAAAATTCTTATTCTCCAAAATTCAATTATTTTCAAAAATTTTAATAAAAT